GCCAGGGTGCTTACCCTGGCGAGCTGCATGCCAAACGTTGCCGACCCCTGGATTATAGCTTTAAAATCTAACTGGCACCTCAAATTATTCATAAAATTGACCCCATTCACACTGACACAGGGCAAATTCCTATTTGCAAAAGGGAGAAAGGCAGTTATATGTTTAACCTGACTGGTGACTACCTGCTTGTAAAAATCTTTACAACCTACTAGCACAACGATGTAAAGAGATTAGCTAATCAATATTTAGCCACTGTATAATGGTTTACAGGTACAAATACAATTAGAAAATCTTGGCCTTGCTCATTTTGGATCCCTCAATACATAGTCAAATTAGCAACAAAACTTACAAGTTTCTTCTTCTGTTTGGAACCATCTTTATATACAAGGACAACAGCAGTTTTGAACACTAGAGAAAGATTAAAAACAAAAACCCACAGTCAGTAATGGTCCCTGTACCCTTGTCTCCTGTAAAGCCCAAGCGTACACAGAAATCAAACACACACCATTAATCATGACAAGATCATACACATTCCTGGTAAGCCTTTGTTTCAGTCAGGGGCCAGGAGGGGAAAAGAGCAAGAGGATAATTATAAAGACTCTATGTTCCTGTATTATTCTTCCCCCCCAGTAGAATTTACACAACAATTAATTTCTCAGGTGGCTTTGATGTTTCAGAATTCACAAGTTAAGTGTTCTTTAAATGGTTATTCACACAATGACATGTTTGCAAATTACAGGATTCTACCTAAAATAAAATGTTTTGTTGTGTGTTTTAAACCCATCTGGCTAAGCCCACTGAATGGTTGGTGTATTATTAGTACTACAGTAGTGCCTAGGAGCCCCCCAATCATAGATCAGGACCTCACTGAGCTAGGCACTGTTCAAGAACAGCAAACTACAACAAAAAATAGTCCCTGCCTAGTTGCATGCAGGGAGTCATAGGGCTGACACTGCATTTAACAGACCAATGGCGTATTTGGACCATTGATGTCTGTGACAGTGGCCTATAAATAGGAGTCAATATACAGTTATAGCTGGAATGTTACATGCACATGTTATGGGAAAGTTATGTTGGAATTTGGGTTTAAAGAATCAGGCAAAGGAATGAAATCGTAATTTCCACAGTGTCCCACAGAGCGACACCCTTCGTTTTAGAATTAAAATATTTGGGATCTTGAGATTTTATAAAGAGGATTTAAACCTCAGTGGTTCAGGAGCCAAATTAGCAATCAGCATCACCCAAAAGAGCCATAGTAGTGTGAATTCATTGTTTATTTTCTATTTATATACATATATTATTCTCACAGCAACAGAACTAACCAAGTATTCTACAATTGGTTAATAACATAGTAAAAGCATCCTGCTTAGTAATTAAATCAGAGTTTTAATGTGCGCTGCAAAGAGCCACAGGAGACATTACAGAGCCTCAGTCGAAGTATCACTGTCCTAGGTGTAACTCTAAAAGCAAGAAAGCGAAGTGCCATGAATTAGGCTTCTGAAACACAAATACTAATCAATCAAGGGTGGGGGAGGGTTGCTAACATGTAGTGGGAGGTTTTAGCTACTCACTTTCTATGGACTTTGGGCCACATTCTACTCAGTTACAGTAGTTGCTTGAATTGAATCTCTCTAGATTTACATCACTAACAGAACAGAATTTGGCCCTTTAAAATCAGGGGCAAATCATTGTGCGTTTAATTTTCCAAGTTCTAGATGATGTAGCAGGAACACTGTTAGGTAACTGTCATTCTCTATGCACATTTCTCACAGATCTTAGGTGTCTCTGCTCAAGTAAAATCTGCAATCCTATTTGTGTTTGAAAGAATCACCAGAGTACATACCAAATGCTGCTAACTCAGGTTCCTTCTTCCATTTCCCCAGTGATGCAGGAGGGTTAAGCCAGATCACTGTATTATGCAAAAGTAGGTCTCCCATGGAAAGGTCTGCAACCTGCCAATCACAAACATATGAAAATACAAAAGCACCAGTGTCATAGAATATCAGGGTTGGAAGGGACCTCAGGAGGTCATCTAGTCCAACCCCCTGCTCAAAGCAGGACCAATTCCCAACTAAATCATCCCAGCCAGGGCTTTGTCAAGCCGGGCCTTAAAAACCTCCAAGGAAGGAAACTCCACCACCTCCCTAGGTAACGCATTCCAGTGCTTCACCACCCTCCTAGTGAAATAGTGTTTCCTAATATCCAACCTGGACCTCCCCCACTGCAACTTGAGACCATTGCTCCTTGTTCTGTCATCTGCCACCACTGAGAACAGCCGAGCTCCATCCTCTTTGGAACCCCCCTTCACGTAGTTGAAGGCTGCTATCAAATCCCCCCTCATTCTTCCCTTCTGGAGACTAAACAATCCCAGTTCCCTCAGCCTCACCTAACTGCCAGCAATCTCTGGTATCCTTGTGAGAGGGAGGAGAGAGGCGTAACCCATGGCAGGCAAAGGGTTAAC